TTGAATGATGTTGGACGTGTTTTGCACAATTTGAGTCTTTTTTTTAATGCATTTTGAATAATTCTGGACAGAACTTTTTGTCTGTCTGGACAGTTTTTGGATCCTTTTGGACTATTTTTTGTCATTTAAGTCAGATGTGTTCTTCCTCCTAAATGTCATGTGTCTATCTGCTGCACTGATGAAGTTCTGAGGCTCAGAAATGATGGAAAAAGTCCATTAAAGTGATAAATCTGGACCCTCCTCTGTGGACTTCCAGGTTCTCTGGAACATTCACAGTATCGCTCTTTGTTCTGAAACCTCCTCTCGTTGCTTGCAGCTGGTCTTCCAGTGAAGACGGACATCACCCCCGGACCTTCTCGGCTCTGCTCCGGAGCCCGGCGGTCGTTCTTCTGCAGAATGAAGTGCAACAGACCCTCGGTGAAGGTGGAGGACAAAGACTTTCCCTCCACCTGCTCCAAGAAGAAAGGTAAACCGACCGAAGCGGCTCCCTGCTCGAGGACTCGCCTCCGTTCTCGTGAAACCCAAACAGCTCCGGCTGTTCCTGTTTTCTTATTTTTAGAGGCACATCCTCATCAGAGCAGGAATCACACCTCGGTTAGCACCAGTTGCACAACCGAGGAAGTCGGCCTCTTTGGGTTGCGAGAATTTAAACCGACGTAAGACAAGATGGTCCTTTTGTTCGTCACACAGCAGGGAGGCTGTTACAGCAGCAGATGTGCAGAGAGCAGCAGAAAATAAAACACAAGCAACACTAATGCATTTTATCAGCTTTACACAAATCTATATCCTCCATTAGCAGAAGTGCTGATTGAAGAAATGCACAGATTTTAATTCATATTCCATATTTACACAAAAACGCAGCAGATTCACAAGATTTTTATTATTTTTTAGCACATTTATCTACTTATTTATCATTTTTTTCAACCGAATTGCACAAACTGTAGCGTAACCACCAAGAAAAACCTCCTGTTTAGCTTTTTTTAACACCACAGTCACCGTTTCCCGCCCAGGATGATGTAAAAACCACTAAATGACCAGACTTCTGCTAAAACGTGAGCTTTTATGTTTGTGATGAAAGATTTCTGCCGCTTCGTGTGCAGACGGCAGATAATGAGCGTCATTACGACGGATTAAACGGGATAAACGCGGTGAAAAACGAGCAGCGCTTATAAACGGGGAAGAGAAAAGATGCGTTACCATGGCAACCTAATTACGCCGCCTGAATATTTACGCCTCCCGTCTGTACGTCTTCAGAAAATAGGTTTAATCGCAGTTTGGCTCCTTAAATTGCTCCAAAATCACACGTTTACCTGCGAGAGTGGCTGAAGTGGCGTCTGATTGGAGGAAGCGTCTGTCAGCCGTCGGGTCCGTCTCCAGGCGTTTCCAGGTGTTTCCAGGTGTTTCTTTGGCTTTTGTGTTCTTTTTAAAAGCTCGTTTGAATCCGTTTCCTCACATGAAGATGTTTTTTTAATCTGGAAAACCAGAATCCTCTCGGTGACGTTACCTCTGAACTCCTAACAGCAGTTTCTGGTTTTTCTCTGAGACATACTGAAGATATTTAAATATTTCCGTTTTCCGCCGCAACAAACTCTGAAACGGTTTAGTCGTGTCTCATTTTTAGCGTTTTGTGTCTGTTTTCTGTTGGTTTGTCTTGACAATGTCATTTTGCGTCTCAGTTTTGTCGTTTTCTATATCGTTTTGTGTCATTTTGCGTCTAGTTCATGTCGTTTTACGTCTTGTTTTTGTCATTTTGTGTCTTGTTTTTGTTGTTTCGAGCGTCATTTTAGTCGTTTTCTTTCATTTTGTGTCATTTTTTGTCTCATACTTGTCAATTTGTGTCTCGTTTTAGTCATTTTGCATTTTATTTTTGTCATTTTGAGTATCTCTGTTGTCGTTTTGTCTTGTTTTGTGTCATTTTGCGTCTCGTTTTTGTTGTTTTCTATCTCATTTTGTGTCATTTGTGTCATACTTCTTATTTTGTGTCTAGTTTTCATCATTTTGGACCTTTTAGTCATTTTGCGTCGTTTTGTGTCTCGTTTTGTTTTGTCTCTGTCATTTTGATTGTCATTTTTGTCGTTTTCTATCTCGTTTTGGCATTTTTTTTGTCTCATACTTCTCAATTTGCGTCTTGTTTTAGTCATTTTGTATTTTATTTTTGTCGTTTTGTGTCATTTTGCATCTCGTTTTTGCTGTTTTCTGTTTTGTTTTAGTCATTTTGCCTTTTATTTTTGTCATTTTGTCTTGTTTTGTGTCATTTCGCGTCTTGTTTTTTGTTGTTTTCTGCCTCGTTTTAGTCATTGTGTGTCACGTTTTCTTCCAGGGAAACATTCACAGCGTGAATCTTCATGTTTAAACAGTTCTGTCCTTTTGGTTTCCTGTCGTTGAAACGCTCCACCTCCTGAACCCTGCATCCTAACGCTGTCAGTGCCTCCAGCCAACTGTTAAAGCCTCCGTCATGCTTCCTCACATCTAACCTCTCGTCTGTCGCTGCCTTCCAGCCGACCGGAAGAGCTTCTGCACCATCCACAGCACCGGCTACCTGAAGAGCTGGCCGCCCACCAAGATGGGCCTGGACGAGGACAACGAGCCCGACAACGAGGGCTGCAACCTGAGCTGCCTGGTGGCCATCGGCCGGCTGCACCCCCACATCGTGCCCCAGCCCAGCCTGGCCGACATCCGGGTCAAGCCCACCGAGTACGTCTCCCGGCACGCCATCGACGGCAAGTTCGTCTTCGTGGACCAGAGGTGAGCTCCAGTCTGCTCCTTTTAGCTTTGAAGCCTTTCTGGACACGTTTAGAGTCACAGTTTGAAATCATTCTGGGTACCGTCAGTAGCTTTGAACTACGTTTAAGTCATGTTGAACATTTTTTGACTCACTTTAGACAAACTTTTAATCAGTTTGAACCATTAAAAACAAAAATCTGACAAGTTTTCTGTCATTGTGGGAAAAAAATAGAATACTTTGAATAACTTGATTAATTTTGTACATTTTTTGAGTCTTTTTTATGATATTTGGGTGAATCTTGGACATATTTCAGTCGTTTAGTGACTTTAGACAAGTTGTTATTCATTTTGAACCTTTTTTGAACTTTTAAACTGTTTTTTGATTCACTTTAGGAAAATTTTTAATCATTTTGAGCCTTTTTTTTTGTTTTAAATGGACACGTTTTCAGTCATTTTGAGAAAAAAAGAAGAACAATTTTGGACAGTTCTTGATTAATTTGGTACAATTTTTGAATATTTTAATGTCATTTTAGGTATATTTTGAGTGATTTTGAACACATTTCAGTTGTTTACTTACTTTAGACAAGTTGTCTTTCATGTTGAACCATTTTTGAATATTTTTGGACAATTGTTGAGTTTGTTTTTTGAGTTTTTTTTGGTATTTTTTGGTTTGTTTTTTACACATTTTGTCACGTTTCAGTCCTTTTTCACAATTTTTTTGGTCTTTTTGAACAGTTTAAAAAGAAAACGGACGAGTTTTCAGTCTTTTTGGATGGTTCTTGAATCATTTTTTTTTTCTTATTTACACATTTTGTCATTCTGGACACATTCTGAGTGATTTTGAGCACATTTAAGTCCTTTTTGACAAATTTTGAGTCAATTTAAGCAGTTTTTTGACTCACTTTAGGGGAGTTTTTAATCATTTTGAACCATTTTCAGTCATTTTGAACAGTTCATTCATCGTTTTAGACAAACTGTCAGTCATCTAAAACCAAATCTGGATCATTTTAAATATTGTTGGTCCATTTTTTTTAACCATTTTTACACATGTGGGACACATTGTGAGTCAAAAAGAAGCAAAATCAACACAGAAAGATGCAAAAATTGGTTAAACCACCACAAAAAGATGCTAAATCACCAAGAAAAGACACAAACGAGCACAATAACTGCTAGCTGACCAGCTGATGTAGTTCTGTTCAGTTTGTGTGGATGGGTTTATGGTAATACAGCTGCAGGTGAATCACTTGGAGCTCTGAGGAGCGTTTAGTTGAGGACCTGCAGGTTCATTGTGTCTCCTCGCTGTCTGAGGCTTTAACTAACACCTCCTGCCTCCTGCCTGATCCTCAGAGCCACCGCCATCCTGGCCTACCTGCCCCAGGAGCTGCTGGGAACCTCCTTCTACGAGTATTTCCACCAGGACGACATCGGACACCTGGCTGAGTGTCACAGACAAGGTACCTGAACGCATCACGAGCGCGTCGCGAACGCTTCGGCGCCTCCTGGTTTCTAACCGACCGTGTGCTTCCTCCTCCTCAGTGCTGCAGATGAGAGAGAAGATCAACACCAACTGTTACAAGTTCAAGATCAAGGACGGCTCCTTCATCACGCTGAGGAGCCGATGGTTCAGCTTCATGAACCCCTGGACCAAGGAGGTGGAGTACATTGTCTCCACCAACACCGTCGTCTCGTACGTATCCGCTTCAGGTCAAACCCGGCTCGGTCCGACACGTGACCCAGAACCAGCTGGTTCTTTATCTAACACAGCAGAGTTGAATGTTTACAGACGTACAGGCCTGAGTTTTAATGCTCTTTGTTACTGTTTCCATCATTTCTTTAACTTTTAGAAACATTTTGGACGATTTCTGAGTCATATTAAGCCATTTTTGTTATTTTGGAAAATCTTTAGAATACTTTTGTGTCATTTGGAGCATTTTTAAAACTAAATTTCAACATTTTTTGAGTCATATTCAACCATTAGACTATTTCCAATCAATGTCAGTGTCTTTTTGAGCATTTTTTAAAAGTTATTTTGGACAATTTCTGACTGATTTTAAACCATTAGAGTAATTTTAAACCATTATTGAGAAACTTGGGGTCATCTTTGTGTCATTTTTGTCTGTTTTTGAGTGATTCTGGACATTTTTTTGACCCGTATTCAACCATTGGAGTGATTACAAACAATTTTTGTGAAGTTTTGAGCAATTTTTTGAGGAATTTTAGACAATTTCTGATTGATTTTAAACTATTACTGAGTAATTTGCAATAATCTCTGTGTAATTTTGTAATACTTTAATCATTTGGAACCTTATTTATTTTTTAGTTTCAGCAGTTTTTGAG